CACAGAGGGACAGAGGGCTCTCCCTCCCTGCACAACCCCGGGCACCATCCCTCACAGCCCCAGCAGCCCCAGTAGCCTCGGGGGCATGGCTGCGCGACAGGGGTGCAGTGCCTCTCCTCTTAGCAACTGGTTGGCTGTCCCGTGGTTCCAAATCTGCATCCAATTCCCTGGGCGGGTGAGGGAAACCGAATCACCCCTGCATTCTTGCCTGCCTCTTCCAGGGCGTGTGCAGTCTACCAGGAGCCCGGAGCTCCGTGCACTTGCTCTCTGCAGTCCCGCACAGCGCTGCACATGGCTCCTTCCGCCTCCTCATCCCGGGCTCACAGCCTTCCTACCTCCTGGCTGCAGTGGCAGATGAGCCCCTGGTCCCTCCGAAGGCACCTCCCTTCTGGTTGCTCTGGGCCCTCGTGCTTTGGGTGCTCTAAACCCTCAGCCCCCTCGCAAGGGACTTTGCTGGAGCAATTGTCTCCTCCTTCCCCACATCATCGACTCCCCATCATCTTCTGGTTAAATACCACTCATCTCAAGGACCAGTTCTCTCCACCTTCCTTCTCTGCAGTGGCAGCCCCCTGCCTGCCTGCCTGGTGTCTTTCCGTCCTCGCCTGGGGGCGTCTGCAAATGGCGGAGCTCTGTTCTTCACCTGCCCCACTGTTTTCCTCCCAACCTTGCTGTCTGCACCACCCGGCAGCTCCTGGACCCCGCCAGAAGCCCGACGCTGACGCCACCCTTGGATCCTAGGTTTGCCTCACCTCCCCACACCCCTCCATTCCGCTCATCCGCAGGTGATCTCAGCTCCACTCCCACAGGCCCCTCTCTACTCCGGTGTTCACAGCCAGCCACATGCCTCCTGCCTGGACTGTCTCAGCTACTGTCCCCACTTGTCTCCCTGCTGTCTCTGTTGCTTTTTACCATTTCATTCCAAGCGCTACACAGCGAGGGGCGGGGATGTCCGGGGACAGATGGTGGGTGCAGACAGGGCGTGCAGAGCAGTTGCACATAAGCCAGGTGGATACAAACAGGTAGAAAAGGAAACATGGAGCACTGGAGCCTCTGGCTTTTCTGAGCTGCCTTTCCCTGCTGGAAAGGTTAGGGAGGAGAGGAGGGAGGAGGGCTGCCCAGGATCATTGTCGCTCTGGGTTGAAACTATCCTTGTCAGCTGAAACATTCTAACTCAAGTCTTTGTTTCTTGTCTGCTCCATCAATCTATCAGAAAGGTAACTCCAGTGGCCTTTGCCCTCTGCTTTCACTGATGGTTGGCTCTCTGGAAGTGGATTATATAAAGCATACGAGTGTTGAAACTGTAAGGAACAGACCCAAATCTCAGCTCCTCCGTTATAAACCCGTTCGTTAAAACGAACCTGTTTTAACCCGTGTTCACTTCTTAGCCCTTGGCCTCTGTGTCTTATCTGTAACCTGTTATGGTAACACTGACCCTGCAGGGTGGGGAAGAGGGAGAACCAAGCTCTTGGTTATAATCCCACCAACGCCCTGGCCAAAGCTCTAGCCCCGTCCTTTGGAGTTTTATATTTAACAAGTGAAGGTACTTCCTCTCCCAGCCATACCACATTAAGAAAAAAAAAAAAAAGAGCTTCTTGGGAATTCAATTCCGGAACTCAGAGCTATTCTGACTTTATACCCTGGAGCTTATGGGTTTTTTCGAGAAATACTAGGGGAGTGAATGTCTGGCACACAGAATCCTGAGTTCTCACCCCCTTTTCCAACAGAGAATCTCTGTTTTTTTCTAGATTAAACATTGGGGTTCTGCTTAATTTCTTAAAAAAAAAAAACATATCTGTGTTTCTTTCAAACCACTGCTTGGTGCTTTGAAAACTACTCCTTTAAGGTCAAAATAATAAATTTCAGGAGTAGAAATTGTAGGCATGTTGACAAACTTCTAGAGGAAGCATTTTAAGAAGGAAGGGAAGTAACTTGAGAGGTGACTGCTATTTCCTCCATGCATGATGAGTAATGGTCCTGACATCACTAGTTTTAGGTAATGCGCAGTGATTTAAGATCCTTCCCATGGCCATCTAGGGAGCTGGCCACTCTCTTTTTATAAGGGTGCCTTCTTGGGTTGGGCTCCTGCACACACTTGGAGAGATCCCCAGTGCAAGTGGTTTCTTTGGAAGGCCACCCCAGGTAGGTGCACAAGGGGGGTGGAAAGTGGGGTGGGGATGGGCGGGAAGAAGGAAGCCAGGGCTCAGTCCTGGTGGGGACTTCCCGGTGACAATGTGGAACATGTGCCCGGCGATCCACCTCCGACATGGAAAAGGGGACAGTTCTCTGACTTCCATTGTCCATGGCTGCAGCCTGCTCACAAATCATCCCCTCCTTAGCACCGCCGGTCTGCTCCACCCGAAGGCCAAGAGACAGCCCTCCCTGTGCAGCCACAGGCGTCTCGGGACAGATGACATGGGTGCGGGACCATAGCCCTGTGACGTGTCGTGTGTTAGGACGGCAACAACAAACAGAGTGAGAGCAGTGTGTGCTCTCCTGGGACTTGGATGCTGAGTGGATTTCAGCTGAAATCTCCCCTTGTTGCTACTAACAGTGTGACTTTAAGCTAGCCGGCTCTTTCATTGTTCCATAAACGGGAAAAATGATACCTACATGGTTCTTAGGAAGTATTAAGGCGTTAAGATTTCTCCAACTCCCGGCAGAGTGTCTGACAGACGACAGGCATCAGTCAGCGTTAGGGCGTGTCGCGGGGAGTGAGACTGGCTGTGTCTACGGAGTGTCCCTCTTACGGACGCGGTAATTCCGATGGTTTTCCAGTGGTTGAACTGATTCGCATTACCACCTGGGCGATGAGCACACCCGTCTAAACTGCCCAAATGAACACAAGACACAGAAAGACTCGGACCAGTCCTGTATCTATGAAATACACTGAAATCAGTCATTTAAAATTTTCCCGCAAGAACCATAATGCTTCAGACCTAGGTAGTCGTACTTGTGAATTGCACTAAAAAGTCAAGGAATAAACGATGCCAAATTTCTGAGATCGTGTGCAGCACTAATTAGAAAAGAGCTTTACAAAAATACCTATGGATGCACACTCTCAGAGGTCAAGCTTCCAATCCTTTCTCTTGGTTTCCATATCTTATCTCTAGACTGAGGTGGATGTTTAGATCGAGATCGAGATCTTTATCTACATACAGATATGCATATATATTTGCCCAAGTAACAGTCATTGGAAAGATCATATCTGAAGGTTCCATCACAATAAGGAAAAAAATCTGCATTTCTCTAGATGCCTGGTTTTCACAGAGGAGGAGGCTGTGCCTAGGATTTTTCCAGGTGGATAAGGTGGAAAGGTATTCCAGGTAAAGGGCATGGCCAGTGGCCAGCCACAGAAGCCAGGGAGAGCGCAGTGGTGTGGGTGTAGGGAGGTAAGGGGGCCGCTCAGCAACACGAGGGAAAGGCTCAGTCCTGACGTGACCCCTACACCTTGGTAAGGAATGTGTTACTTGAATGGTTAAGAAAACAAGATCCAACAATGTACTGCCTATAAGAGACTCCCTTTAGCTCTAAAGACACACGTAGACTGGGAGGGAAAAGATATTTTAAGCAAATGGTAACCAACCAACCAAACAAACAAATAAACAAAACAAGCAAACGGGGGTAGCTCTAGGTACGTCAGGCAAAATAGACTTTGAACTAAAAAAACGGTAAAAAGAGACAAAGAAGGTCATCATATAATGATAAAGGGGTCAATCCACCAAGACCTAACAATTATAAACAGCTGGGCACCTGACATAGGCGCACATTATGCATAAAGTAAAAACAGAACTGAAAGAGATACGGGCTTTATTTCCAACGACACAGAGCATGTGATCCTCCAGGATCAGCTAATCTTGCTGAGGTCAGGGCAGACCGGGGCAGCCAGTGGGGAGCATGGGCTACAGATGCTGGGAAGTGGGGACCAGGGGGTCCTGGAAGAGAAAGTAGAGGGAATCCAGGGTCAAATCAGAGAAGCATGTAGAGTTTAGCTTTTTGAACAGATTGTGTAGTATGCATAAATACTTAGCAGTACAATTCTACTTAAAATGACAATTTGAGGCTTGGTGTGTTTGAGTTCAGCTGCTGCCCACATAGTGTTCAGTCCTGGTGTCTTTTCCTCCCCTTTGCTCTACCACCCCCTTCCTGGTTTTGCTTTGAAGTGGTTTACCTTTTATGAAAAAGTTAGCTTCTAAGTGCAATTTCTCCCATGTCCACTAGGAGGAAGCAAAGTATGCAATTTTATTTTTCCATCTGCAACATTTGTTTTCAGTAAAAAACACATGCTTGCACTAAATACCTACGTTACCTGATTACAGGAGTGAAAGATATATGTTTTTGGAAATATGAAAACATCATAACAAGAAACTATAATTTAACTGCAATCCTTTTACCATATACATAGCTTCTTTTAAATTGTTTCTTTTAAGTTGATGTATAAATCTGTTTTGCGCTTAGTTGGGATTATACTGCAAATTCTGTTTAGGTTCTGCATTTGTTTCACCTACCATTGTCTCATACACGTTTTCCCACATCATTCTTGACTTTTTAAATTTTAATTGAAAACCATAAGGCTTGCATATTGTGTGTGTTTACCTCTCTGCAGGTATAGGAAAGAGCATTACAAATAAGCCAGTGTAAGCAGCCACTCCCGTGGGTATTTGCCCACATCTCTGGTCCTTCCATGGGTGTATTTTGGTTAGAAGGAACGGACATTTTTGAGCTCTTAATCTACAGGCACATAGTTACCTGCGTCTGTGCTTACCTCCTTACCTAGGTGCTGCTCACATCTGTGTCTGAGCAGGTGCGTCGCATTGTCCCCTTGCCGAATTGAGATGGGTGTTCTTTTCAGGTTAAAAACACTATTATTCTCATGACTTTACTTCCAAAGGTGTCATGGTAAGTCAGCTTGGCCAAATCTTGGGATGGAAGCTGATGTGCATAATCCAAATAATTTTTCTTGATTATGAATTCACTTAATATAATCAACGGGAATGGTAAAAAAAAAAAAAAAAAAAAAAGAGTCAGAAGTGTATGGTCAGCAGATGGCGCCCTGCAGTTAAAATACAGGCAAACAAAAACCATGGGATATTTTTCTTTCTTGCCATGATTTCTCTCTGAGCCATGACTGGTTTTGAGGCAAATATCCTATAAGGAAAGGTTGTTCAGGATGAACCAAACACATCCTTGAGGTTAAAATGCAACATTCAGGGGCTTAGCAGGAATCCCCGTGAGTCTAGAAAGTTAATAATGTCCAAATTCTAATACTGGGCTGTGCTGTATTTGTTTGCCAGTTTACTAAGGAATTTCAATAATTTTAGTGAAGACCCCCAAGAACAGTAATGAAAGGAAGGCTTCGCTTCTTCGTTTTTCTCTCTTTTGTGAAGCACCGCCTTTTCCTACCCTGACTCCTCGGTTTGCATGCATCCTAGGTAGAAAATCAGACTTGTGCCTAGGACACGTGTCCTCCGTAGCATTTTAGAAATCCTGACATTGGGCGCCTGGGTGGCTCAGTCGTTAAGCGTCTGCCTTCGGCTCAGGTCATGATTTCAGGTCCTGGGATCGAGCCCCGCATTGGGTTCCCTGCTTGGCAGGAAGCCTGCTTCTCCCTCCCCCACTCCCCCTGCTTGTGTTCCCTCTCTCGCTGTGTCTCTCTCTGTCAAGTGAATAAAATCTTTAAAAAATAAATAAATAAATAAATAAAATAAATAAAACAGGTGGAGATGGGGACTCTCTGAATTCCTCTGCTCCCCGATGCCCCGTACAGCTCTCGGCGCTTTCTTTCACACCTTGAGAATTGAATGGCCTCCAGTCCTAGAAATGGCTTCTTTTAAAAACTAATGGGGGTGCCTGGGTGGCTCAGTCGTTAAGCGTCTGCCTTCGGCTCAGGTCATGATCCCAGGGTCCTGGGATCGAGGCCCGCATCGGGCTCCCTGCTCCGCGGGAAGCCTGCTTCTCCCTCCCCCACTCCCCCTGCTTGTGTTCCCTCTCTCACTGTGTATCTCTCTGTCAAATAAATAAATAAAATCTTTAAAAAAAAAAAAAGAAAAGAAAAGAAATTCTGACATTGCTCCAAATGGTTGGTTTGGAAAGTTTTTAGAAATTCTGACATTACTCCGAATCGATGGCAGTGCCGCGGAGAGAAGCCACCCTCCAAGCAAGGGCTCGCTTAGCTGGAGGGCTTCATCCTGCCGTCACTAACCCTCGAGGTGATGGGCTCCGAGGCGGAATCTGACGCATGTCCCTTAGGCGGTGCAGGAGGTGAATGGGACTAGCACCCTTATAAAAGGGGACCCCACAGAGCTCCCTCGCCCCTTCCAACCCGTGCAGTGATGGCAAAATATCCCATTTCCCCAGAAGCCGATCGGGATCATGCAGACACCTGATCACAGATGTTCAGTCTCCAGAAACTCTTGTTGATACCCCGGCCAGACTGTGGGATTTCCTGAGAGTGGCCGGAACAGACCGAGACCAGTATTGTATTGGCATTTCAACGTCTTTACGGGGCATACACAGTAACAGAGTCTCTCCCCGGATGTTCAGTGCTGTGAGATGTGATACATTGTGGAGAATCCGGAAACCGCATCCACGCTCAGCCAGCGTTGTATCCTGCTCGCTTTGCGTCTCCTGTTCCGAAGCTGTGTCTGGTGGATGCTCTCTCTGGAATGCTGCCGTGTTCCCTCCAGTGGATGGTCCACCTCCTTGGATTCAGGCTTCGGGTTCCTACCAGCCTGTGTGCGTGTTGGCTCCCATGTCGGTTCAGTTCGGAAAGGCTCTGCATTGCTATCCAGACAGTCTGGGACCCGTGTGCTGGTCAGTCCTTTGATTTACTCTCAAAGTCTTTGTTTTCCTATTAGGATTGAGTCCACACGTGTGCGACCTCTGGTGTGAGGCTGATCAAAAGTTCATAAACAGCTCTGTGGGGGTCTTGTTCGTGTGCTCCCTCCCTTCCCCAGTCCCCCTGGTACTATCTGGCTTTGCATCGCTCCCCTCTGTGTCCCGTGGCCAGAAAGCGGGGGCCGTGGTGACAACACCCTGTCCTGCGTGGCCTAGGTCTGCTTCTGTGCCCAAGTGCCCACGTCTGGGCATCGGGATGCCTTGACTTCAAGCTGGGGATGTTAGAGGAGAAATGGAAACTCCCATTTGCTCCTCCCACGGGCTCAGTGGTACTCTGAATTTTGGTCTTCTCCAATCTGCCAACTACCTTTACTTATTTAGTTAGTTATATTTTTTTACGATGGTAAAAATACACAACATTAAATTAACCATCTCAGCCTTCAGTTCATTATGAGGGTCAGGCGTGTTCAGTATGTTTCACATTTGGGGCAGCTGACTTCAGAACTCTTTCCATCTCGCAAAACTTAAACTCTTCCCCATTAAACATGAACTCTCCCTTCCCAGCCCCAGCCCCTGGCAGCCACTGTTCCACTTTCTGTCTCTATGAGCCTGACTTTATGAGCTTTAGATGCTTTATGTAAGTGGAATCCTGTAGTATCTGTCTTTCTGTGACATACGTACTGTAATGTTCTTAAGGTTCATCCATGTTGAAGCCTGTGTTGGGATTTCCTGCTCTTTAAAGGCTCCATGATATTCTATGTTATGTATGTATCATATTTTGTCTATAGGCTAATCAATAAATAGATGTTTGGGTTGCTTCCACCTCTTGGTTATTGTGGAATAATGCTGCGACGAACATGAATGAACAAATAATTTTTTGAGATCCTGCTTTGCATTCTTTCAATATGTACCCAGAAGTGGCATTGCTGAATGAGAGGGTTTTTTAAGGAATCTCCATGCTGTTTTCCATAATGACGGTACCATCTTACCTTTCCAGCAATGGTGCAGGAGGGGCCCAAGTTCTCCACGTCCTCGCCAACGCTTCTCGTCTCCCATTCCTTCAATAGTGGCCATCCTAAATGGTGTGAGGTGACACCATTCACTATTAAGTGTCCTCAAAAAGCTGCAGCACGGATTTTGTTTTGGTTTCATAGCCACATTCCACAAAAAAGCAAAAAACAAAACAAAAACCGGAGTGGAGCGCGCTCGTCCCATCCAAGCCAGGACGGGAACAGCGTTGGGTTCTAGTGATTACAACTCATGAAAGAAAAGTAGAATTTCCGTTTATTGGTCAAAACCACATTGTCCTTGGAACTGAAAATGCTTACAGGTTTGTGAGCAGATAATACAGATGCCCAAACCAGCCAAACGTAGCTTCCTGTTATGCCCTTTGTTTATGCCTCCCTGGAAATGTATTCTTACAACAATAAAAATTAATGGTGCTAGGCTATCGTAAAATTTATATATTTGGGATGTTATACTTTAAGTCCTCCAGATTGAGGCAAGAATATATTTTTATGACTGTGCTAAGTGAATGGAGAAAGTTTCAATCTGACTAAGTTATTCATAACGTACAACTTCTGACTGGCAATCCTCTTTAAGATACTACTTTTTTGGGGGTAAATCAATCCGGAAAGAATTTGTTCTTCCCTCTGTGTGACACTTAATAACATGATTAGCAATAAAACCCTCCACAAGTCTTTTGGGTGTAATTCACAAAGCCAAGCATAGATAGTAAAATTCAAGTTCATTAGAGGAAACTTCTATTTTATTGAGTATACTCTGTGTTGGGAACTGGTCGACGGCCCGCAACTGACCACAACGGTGTCTCCTGCAGCAAGTTTATGCAGAGTTATCTTCTCTTCTGCCATTTTTAAGGAACAGGTGTAATTTGGAATTTATGAGCAAAGGCATTTTATTTTCCCGGGAAGGATTTGCCTTTTTTCTAAATACTCCCTATGGCTCCTATAAGTTGCTTTATTGTGCCCACATGCTCACATCTGCTTATTTCTGTGAGGGTCCTCCAGCTACAGAGGTGCTTCCAGAAGGAAGACCCCTTTCCCTGAGAAGGAAGTAGCATCCACGAGAGGAAGAGTAGATCTCTGGTGAAAAGGGAACCACGTATCTGAAACTAGTCCTGTTCTAGAATATCCAGGACATTTGTTTTCCCTCAGGATTAAGTTTGTAAACCAGATTATTTCCCTTACTATTCAAAATGGCATAGTTTTTAACATTTAGGGTACATTTGTATTTTTATCAAATTAATATGTGGAAATGGTTTAAAAAGTTTAACAAGTGCATTGCGTTTTAGAATAAGGAACCATAATCTCCTTCCCTAGTCCTGACTGTCTCTCCCCACAGAAAACTGCTTTTAACTATTTCACTGTTTACCTGCGTTCTGCGCCCCACCTAACCCCACACCACAGCCCCAGCCATGTTCTCTCAGCCTGGCATACCTGCTGTTGAGTTAAATCAATGTCTAGTGTTTACTTGGTTATTAGGACCTGAATATTGCTCTCCACCATGCAATTATTTTTACATACACCTTCTCACCCAACATGGCGTTTTTCTTGCGTTACTTCGTTGGGTTGATGTGGGAGCTCACATACAAAGATGGCGCCCAATGAACTAAACCTTTCAGCTTTCATGACTTCTCTTGGTTTTCTCCTCTTGAATTGGGGCTAGGCTGACCAAGAATGTGGTAGAAGCGATACTCTGGGTCTTCTGAGGCTATGTTGTAAGGAGTCTTGTGCTTTAACCCTCCAACACCTGCTCTGGGGGAAGATGTTGGTCTGGTGTGAGGATGTGCAAGTCAGCATGTGGGGCTGCTGTGTGGACAGAAAACGATGCCTGGCCATTCTCAGGCCATTCCACTAGCAGCCAGGCACAGATGTACCAGAGAAATGGCTTCTTGTGTGTCCATCCACTGAGGCTTCCAGTGACTCCAGTCTCTGCCAACGTCCGACAGTAACCACGTGGGAGTCCCCCAGGCGAGTCCTGATGAGCCAGGTAAGCCCACGGGACCAGATCCTGGCTCCTGACCCATGTCTTTGTCTTCCTTTCTTCAAGAATATGACATCTTTGGGGCACCTGGGTGGCTCAGATGGTTAAGCGTCTGCCTTCGGCTCAGGTCATGATCCCGGGGTCCTGGGATCGAGTCCCGCATCGGGCTCCCTGCTAGGCGGGGAGCCTGCTTCTCCCTCTGCTTCTGCCTCTCTCTCTCTCTCTGACTCTCATGAATAAATAAATAAAACATTAAAAAAAAAAGAATATGACATCTTCTTCTGTCTTCCTTCAAAGTGTTACTTATGATTCATTTGAAGTTTTCTTTTGCCCCCTCCCATCTCTCCCTTCTTGTGAGTTCTGTAATTTTTCCTTTTCTTGTTTGTCTTTGTTCCCATAGGTTTTGCTCTGTGCTCTGTTAGAGGTTCCCCAGAAGTCTGGTGACTTTTAGGTATCGGTTTTTATTTAAGAGGAAGGCACTAAAAGATCGACTGTTAATTCCGTGGGTGTTTATTGGTTTGTCAACGACCAAAGTCCAGGGCATGGTGGGGCAGGCCGGATGTTTTCATCTGCAGGATTTGTGTTTGAGCTGTGATGTCACTTTTCTGGGTGTGGGTGTGTTGGGGCCGGGAATGAAGGCGATGATAAGCCTGTCTGCCAGAATCTTAGATATGAAGGGCAGAAGAAGCTAAGGTTGATACAATGCTTCCAACTAAAATTCTAAGAAACAAATGATAGAAACATTCTGATTCCAAAGCTGTGAAAATGAACATGTTAGTGTTGACAGAACACGGTAACTTCTGTCTCCGGTGTTTGCCTTGTCCATATCCTCAGAAGTTCCGTGACCAGGGCTCCGCAAGCTCAGTTTCTTTTGAGGATAAATAGCTCCTTTCAACCAATCATCCTGTGTCTCATCACACTTCTCAGCTTTTCGTTTGGACATAGCAGCGACCCCGATTTCTGAGCTCTTCTGGGTCTGGCTTGCTCCTGCTGGTTCCCTCTGTGGGCTGCATCAGCCTGCACCCTCCTCAGCTCACTGTGTGTCTCCCAAAGTCTTCTAGTTTGCCACCAAATTCCCGCCTTGGCTTTGTGTCCTCACAGTTTTATGCTCTGCATTCATTATGGTCAGTTTAGAGCATTTCTCGGGAACAGAGATAAGATGTGCATCACACACCTTACATTCAGCCAGAAGATTCAGCTGGATTCAAAGCCCTGCACACTTCTAAAATCACCAAGAGCAAAGTCCGAAGACAAATGAAAAACTAGGAATACACCTTAACTCATTTAACAAAACTGATTGCCTTCATGGATAAAGAGCTCCTGCAAATAAATGACAAAGAAAATAATTGAATTTTAAATATCAGAAAAGATACTCAGCCTAATTCATAGTAAGAAGAGAATGCAATTAACCTACCTGGTTTGGAAAGACAGAGAAGTTATATCACACACAGGGTTGATGACGTGTGGAGGAAAGATGCTGTTCAGCTTTCCTTGAGAGAGGGAAGCTGGAATGGCATCCAGGAAGGACATTAGGGAAACACTGTCAAGTTCAAATTATACACAGACTTTGACTCAACATTTCCATTTTGAGGAATTCGTCCTACTTCTCTACTTGAATATGTGCAAAATAGTTGAGATTTGAAAAGGCCACGTTCTTTGCATTAGCAAAAATTGGTGACACCAACGAGGAACTGGTTTAGTAAACAATAGTATGTCCACAAAGTAGACTATTAAGCCAGCCTAGCAACGATGTGAATGGAACTGGAGAGTATTATGCTAAGTGAAATAAGTCAATCAGAGAAAGACAAATACCATATGATTTCACTCACATGTGGAAATTAAGAAACAAAATAGATGAACATATGGGAGGAGGGGGGGAAAAAAGAGAGAGGGAAACAAACCATAAGAGTTTCTTAATGATGGAGAACAAACTGAGGGTGGATGGAAGGGTGTGGGTGGGGGATGGGCTAGATGGGGAATGGGCATTAAGGAGTGCACCTGTTGTGATGAGCACTGGGTGTTGTATGTAAGTGATGAATCACTAAATTTTACTCTTGAAGTCAAAATCGCACTGTATGTTAACTAACTAGAATTTAAATAAAAATTTGAAGGAAAAAAAAGAATATTAAGCCAGCAAAAAAATGAGGAATCTGTTTATTTAATGATATGTGAATATTCAAAACATATTTCTGAGAGAGAAAAGCAAGGTACCAGACTGTGTCTATTGTGTTACTGTTCATGTAAAAAGGCAAAAAGAAACTCGCAGGAAACGAGAAAAGCCTGCCTGGCTGGTCCTGATACCCAAAGCTGCAGATTTCCAGGACTCATTCTGCTCCCACACCTGACTTAAGGCCATAAGAACATGGCAAAGAAAAGGCTCTCGTTGTTAGGACGATGTCTTTCTCAGTCCTTTGGAGGGCTGGAGGAAGAACGGGGCTGTGGCAAACCCTGTGACACTTTCCTATACTGGGAAGGACAGTGAGCCATGGATGCTGATCACCTTAGTGACAACATACAGAACTCAGGGAATACTGGGGACTGTCTTTATCTTGCTCTGGTGCAAATAAAAAATATTAAGATACTCTTCAAATATAATGGCAGGGTCTTAAAAACATAAGTTAGTTCTTAAATGAAAAATTTTAAAAAGCAATAGCACTTGGAAAGTAATTACTTCGATGAATCAGTAAAGTGGTATGGTGTACCCACACGAGCAATACACAGGGATGCTGACCCAATGATGGATAGGGCATCCTGGACCCTGAAAGGGTCTCTAGCCTACTGGGCTGGGTCACAGGACCATTAAATTAAACCTTCAGCAGAGGGGAGGGTGATTCCTGCTGCAGGCCTTGCTCCGGGTTACCTGACAGCAAGCTGCAGGATGGGGCTGTGGACCCTTCACCAGTCAGACGACAGATGTCCCGGGCACCCTCTGTGCCCAGCACTGGGCAATGCACCCTGATGACATTGCTAATCAAAATACACACAGCACCACTTTTAGCCTGACCCTGGGATTTTAGACAAAGGCAAAATAGTAGCCTGATTAAAACATATCTAGTCTAGCGACCCAGATATATTTTAATTATGTTATTCTTAGATCATGAATCTTTAGTCTTAATTTTTCTTCTCCATGTGAGAAAAGCGAAAATTTAGCTAAGAAGGAATGTTTAGTCCAGATTTCTTGACCCAATGTTATACAGTCCCATACTGGATTACAATTCCAGTCTAGAAGATGTGGACTTTACAAGAGACATTGGGCTTTGGAAGCAACCTGGTGCGCCCAGGCCCGTGCAGCGTGTGTGAGCGGAGGTCCCGCGTGAAGTGCATGCCAGCTGGCCTCTGAAAGGCTCGCCTAGACATTCCAGAAGGTTGAGAAATCACCCAGGTGTGTTGGTTAATTGGAAAGGTTCGATCGTGGCTAATTGCCTGTAAGACGTTCATAGAGAAATGCTTCCAAAAGCGAAGGCAAGCATCTAACACCTGATCCTAAGAGGCAAATCTTCAAAACAGAGAGATTTTTATAAAACCATCCATATTGGATCCAGATAACAAAAAAGTTGACCACTTCCGCAAAATGGCTTTCTTTGCTATTTGCTTCCCCATTCCCTGATGGATGCCAGAATTCCCTTAGAAACTTGTCCTACACAGACCTCGAGAGGCTCGTGTCTATTATGACGTAGAATATGGGATGAGGACAAGTCAGGGTGCACTCGTCTACGCTCAGGGGATTCAGTGCAGGCTGAATGGGGCTGGCCTCAGTTGTCCTTCCAGGGTCCCTGGCTCCACAGGGAGGGGACGCGTGAGGGTGGGTTGGTGGCCTTCTGATGTCTGTTCTATGTAACTCTTTTTTTTTTTTAAAGATTTTATTTATTTATTTGAGAGAATGAGACAGAGAGAGAGAGCGTGAGAGGGGGTAGGGTCAGAGGGAGAAGCAGGTTCCCTGCTGAGCAGGGAGCCCGATGCGGGACTCGATCCCGGACTCCAGGATCATGACCTGAGCCGAAGACAGTCGCTTAACCAACTGAGCCACCCAGGCGCCCCTGTTCTATGTAACTCTTAACCACGTACCTCTAAGTGCAGTCTTGCAAAGGTGGTCATTTAATCCCTAGAAGAAATTAGATAGCATTTATGCAGATCATTTTGTACTTTTTCCAACTAGAACATTTGCCTGGAGGTGAATTCCTAGGACCAGTGCAAGCATATGGATGCAGTTGGCAACCCGGTCTCATATTTCTTCCAGGGAGGCTCAACAAGCAAAACCAAGCGAACAGAGCCTGCATGCAGCATCATCAGATCCAAATCCCATGAGCCCAGTGGCACGGTAGACCATGTTTACAACTCCAGGTTTGCAGTGACTCTCCTTCCACACTGGCCAGATGTAGGGGCGCTGTATGGATGGCTGGGGCGGGGGCAACCGAAGTATGCTACTGTTGTAAACTCACTTCGTTAGGTCCATCACCTCCTCCTCCTTTATTTTCCTGTCCCCTGCCCTTGTTGACCAGAGGCTCAAAGCTAATGCTGTTTTTATTGAAGCTAAGGCTTCATTAGAACCCCTCTCTTTGGGTGCTCGGTATGGAGCTTTCCCCTTGAGCACTAAGGCTCACCTTCATCAGGAAGCCTCGGGTGGCCATGCCTGCATTTGGAGATGTCATTTTCTCCAAACTCCAAGCCCCCACACAGGGTTCAGTCTGAACAGCTAGTTTTGAATGCCCAACGTTGAGTTCAGTTGTAGCTCCGAAGAGAGTTCCAAGACCCAGTGACTGAGGACTGAGTATAACTCTCTTTCTCCTACAAATGCTCTTACACATCATTATGTGAGTGTGTCCAGTGGTCCGTCCTTGAACCCTCAGCCAATATTTTCTCTGTTAATCCTCTCAGCTCCCAGATAATGCTCTGCACCTAAGGCTTGTCTATTTATTTATTTATTTATTTTAACAAACTATTCCTTCTGGTGTATTTCTCCTTTTCTAATATGTCAACCTTTTCATAAGTTGAGCGTGATTGCTAAGAAAACAATATGCTCTAGAAGTTACTTAGCAAAATATTTTATTTTAGCCAAACTCACTGATAAGAAGTATGCTTGAAATCCCCCTGCTACATGATGATCATCTCGGCTGCTGAGATTGTGTTCCTGGTCATTAGTTAATGGAAGGTACTTATCATAGAGTAGGAAATGGCCTTGCTCAGGAAGAGGGAAATCGAATTACATTATGGAGAATGCTCCCAGAGTGCCGTCGACGGTTCCAGCCAAGTCATTTCCTGTGCTAAGGAGGTATTGTCTGGACCAGGGCGCAGCTGGAAGGTGGCCCAAGCTTGAAGGCAAATGACAATGGTGTCATTTCCATGACATAAAAAAACTGCTAAAAATAAAAAGTAAACACCACAAATCAATAGAAGAATACATAAAGTAGGTGAGCAGATATTTAAAACAAAGACCTTAAAATGGTCAATCGGCACAAGAAAGGGTACTTGACTATGCTCCTACTTCATGAAATACAAATTAAATCAGGTATGAGACACCACCTTTCATTCACACATTTGGCCAAGATTGAAAAGTCTGCTCATGGGCTGATGTGGGCCACGTGAAACATGCCATCGATGGTGGACGGAAAATGACGCCCCCATCACCTAGGACAGCTAGACAGCATGCGTGCACTTTGAAATGGATGTAGCTGGCCTCCGCATGTCCATTTATAATCACGTGATGCACTCAGCACAAGTGTGCAAGCGTGTGTATCCTGGTCAACGGGAATAAGAACTGGAGAGGAGCTACCTATGGATCAATAAACGATTTGTTAAGTGATGGTAAGTCCCCTAGTGGGGATGTAATTCTCAATCTACCTGCACAACACATCACGGGCCCGGACCCTGCTGCCCCCCTCCCACCACCTCGTACCCAAGTCTGATCCACAGGATCGCCCAGGTGGTCTTCCTGGTTCCTTTTGGGTGACCTTGAATTGTATCGCCTGATCCCAAATCAACAATCCTCGCTGGCCGGGCTGACAAGGTTTAGGCTCACTGCTATGTGTCGGTTCTAGACAGAAGTACCTTTACGAAGGTTAAGATGTCGCCTGGACAGAGTGCTTTGCTGCCCAGGTAACCAGCTCCTCTTACCGACGCCTAGACCTGTCCACGCCATTTCAATCGCAACAAAAACTCACCCTTCTTCTCTGGGATGCGGGTGCTTCACACGACCATATCCTTCTAGCCTTTCCCACCACCCTGTAGAAAGGCTTCTGCTGAGGATGAGGTCGTTTTTGTTCAGGACACACCCTCATCCCGAGGGTTTCCTGACTTTGTTACTTGACTTTGTTTCCTGACTTTCTCAGCCACAGAGTCTAATGAGGTCCCGTTGGGCAGGCCCCGCGATGTCTCCCACACCAGAAGGTGGCTGCCCGCCGACCCTGACAGCACCCACAAGCTCCCATGCCTCCCACAGCTGCTGTTCTCCTCAGGTCCAGTCACGATTATGGGACAGCACAGCATCGCGGCTGAACTAAACCTACACTAATTGTCCCGAATGTTCCCGCAGCTGTCTGCCCTCAGGGTGGGGTGCGGGGCGCGGGTGGGGGTACCAGCCCAGAGTCTGGCCTCAGATGCCCAGGCCGGGGCGGGCACATTTCTGGAGTGGGGGAAATACTCTCCCAGGATTCATCTGGCTTTTTGTCAGAAGCTGTTCTGCACTCACTGGCAGGAGCCCGGGCCCTCCCTCTCTCTCTTGACATTTCCTCTACAGACCTTCTACCTCCTTCTTTCCTCTCCCTTCCCTTCCCAGGGTCTTAAGGGCACACAAAACACCTGTTACACGAAACCTGAGATTAATTCCCCAATGAGTTGTTTTAGACACTATTTTCAAAGTGGGTGAAGTCAATTGTATGCTGCCTAGGATCGTTCTCTAGGAAAAATAAGACCATGAACCCTGAGTGTAGACTTGACTCCTATTTTTGGAAAAACTTCCCTTAAATTCTAAGTCCTGAAACCGACATGTGGCTGGGGGCAGGTGGAAGGAGATCCACTGCTGTTGGACTTCTCTGTTTGTGTGAAGATGGGCATCTGTCACAGTGGAGGTGGGGCGGGGGGTGGAGAGGCGGTCCCGGCTGGGGTTGCCGTGGTCCCAGGGCAGCCATGAGTTCTGGTCTGCTTTGCCACGGCCGCCTGCTCGTTCCCCGGCACAGTTGCGTGTCCTGTGCACTGAGCATGGAGACGGGGTTGGGTGCAGGAGGGTGGGGGGGATATCAAGGAAACTGCCAGGAAGGTGGTTGCTCCTGTGCGCAGAACCCACGCCACGGATAACTTCTCTGAATATCTATACACACAAGAAGGATCTGACATCTCTTCTGTGCTTAAGTTTTTTGACTTATTTTATTTTGGCTTAGCAAACAAAGCCACTATTTAATGCAAAACATTTTGGGATCGTAAAAGTATACGGTGTGCTCGTCTTCTGTTAAATAAATGTTATTAAGAAAGATAAACTTCCTGTTTTTTTAGGTGTGGAAAAAAAATCTGGCCCCAGACCTCGCCCTGTCTCTCCTGTCCTCCTCCCGCCGGGTCTCGTGGGCCTGCGGGTCCCTCCCACTGGCCAGCCCCACGGAGGTGACAGAAAGGCCCGGCCCATCCTGCTACCTTGTGGAGCCTCCCCGACCACCTTTGTCAGAAGGGAGCTTTCCTTGTATGGCCTCATCCTGAGCCGATCTTATGTCAATGCACATGCCCTGTTTCTTGCAATACGTGATGTGTGTTCTCCATGCACTTGGCGAGTCTGGAGAAGCACGTTTGGCTCAACACATTCCCTCTGCAAGCACCTAACACGAGAACACGGGTGTGGACCACGGCTGGCCGCTGGGGGAGTGCTCACCTTGGTAACCTCTGGGTTCGACTTCTGAATGCAAAAAGGAACTGTCTCTTATTTTATCCAATAGCCAGATACTGAACGGTCATCCTTGTTGGGTTGCTGAGCACCTGCTGCCCAAGGTCAATAGTGAGGTGGAAGTCAAGCCCAGAGCGGCAAGAGCGGCACCTACCCGTAGCTCAGAGGTTCGAAAACTTAAGTGAGGCTGGAACCCGCCCCTCCTGCAGGCCCCTGGAGGGTCTGGGGCAGGTCTGGGATAGAATCCCGGGAGTTGGGAATTTGCATGGGAATGAGTTTCTCAGTGGAGTCCGATGCCAGTCAAAGCTGACACAGCTCTGAGACACTTGGCCTTGGCCTCGATGGCTCTTTCCAGTTGGAAGGGCCGCTGTCCTATTGGGGGGGCCTCTGCCCAGGACCAGGTCAGTTCTTTGTGGTGAGCAATGTGTCCCTCTTGCCCCAGGCTGGAGCACTCAGGCTCCCCCCACAAAGGGCCACCTACAGGCCACTGGTATGCAGGGCATCCTGAGACAAGGGGCTGACCCACGTTTGGAGCTTACCTTTCCAGTTTCCCTGTGTCCATGCTCTTTCTTCTGTCTGACTTAGTGAAGTCGAGAGCTGGTCCGCCTCTCTATCTAGATCCACTGCATCCGCCTGCCCTCACACGCTTCCCCAGGCCCCCAGAACCAGAACTCGTGGATTTGCCCTCAGAGCCGCTCCCCCTGGCCCCACTCAGGCACAGCCTCGGACAGCACGAGCAGCTTGGGGGTCTCAGTCGGCAACCCCCTCCATCCTCGCTGCCACCACCACGAGGCCTGCTTCGGACTCGGGTTGTCCTGACCGTGTTCCAGGAACTTTAGGATAGCAAAGTCGATATGCAAATAAACTGGACTTAAACAGCACTCGCTGAACCTCTGGGGAAACGCTCATTGCATAAATGACCGAGATCTTGTCTCCACCAGAGATGCTGGTCTCCGGGGGTCCCGTGGGATGCTCCTTAGTGGAAACTGAGCTCTCAGGAAGCCCGAAAGCAAATGCATGCCCCGGGGCATAATCAGACATCCAGAGAGAGGCCTGAGAAATCTATCTTCCTCAGTGGTTGGTTTCATCTAATGAACAGATGAAGAGTCGCAGGATTCCAAGGGCAGGACATGCAGGAAGGGAGCAGTTCTATGGGTATTTATCTATTTCTCCCCCCTTGTAGAACCAGCTGTGCTTTGCTTCTTTTTTGGCACTTCTAGACTTTTCCTCAAAGCTTCTGGCTGACAATACAGCTGTGCTGTGGGCCGTGTCGACACGGGGTGCTGGGGGCTCAGTGCATCTACAGCCGGTCCAGGAAACTCCCTCGGACCCATCCCGGGAGCTCTTCCCTTACTCTTGCGCCCACGTGGATGCCGTGTCATCTGCCTGTTGGATCAGGGAAGGAACGAGACAACCCCAGGCACTCGTGCAAAGGGGTTGGTGTATGATGGTGAACTGCTTCCTTTAGCCAAGACCCCCCCTGACATATACACCACTATCTAATATATTGAAATTCAGTTATCAATAAAATAGTGCATTCTGACGATCTGGAACGGGCAGCGCACACCAGGTTCTCCTAACAGCCCGTACAGGACAATAACGAGCCCCGGTTTCCTGTTTGGCTCAGAGTACGCCTCCTTCTAGAAATGCCCATGCCAACTTCCCCTGCTTTCTCCTATTCGACGGCACCCTCCTTGCTCCTTTTATTAAAATGCCTTTCTGTCTAACTAAACGTTCTCCTTTGTTTGCTGTTCCTTTTCTTCCACTGCAGCTGGCATGCCTACAAATCTACCACTTCTTGCCACGCGCCACGTAATTTAAATGCGCAGTTCGTAAACGGATGCTTTATGAAATCCAGAGGCCTAATTGGCAATGGGAACTGCTGGAAATCAAAGGAGAAAAGAATGACTGGGTGTGCTGTGCTGTTACTGGAATTGGAGGCAAGTGTTTTCAATCTTTACGGAAATGAAGGGCCTGTCCTTTGTGTGATACCCCTGAGCTCGCAGGGGCTCTCTCCGCTGTACGGAGGTGCAGAAACTGACGGAGGGGTGTAGCTGCAGTGGAGACCTCACTCTTTCCGGATCAAAGCTGATATACGTTATATACATTGTCCTACAATTTTGGTTTATCTCCTGCTAGTTTTCAAATGACACGCTATAGAAATGATACATCAGCATTCCAAGGAAACTCATTTAATTGCTAATTATTTCATTTCGATTTTCTAACAGTGGGAGCAAAAGTTGCGTGTTTATGTTGCTGGTGAATAAAGTGGAATGAGTATGGCTAGAAAGCTTTTTATGATAAACTCTGCAGAATAATTTGTAAACCAAAAAAGGCATTTTAATTAGGAAATACTTGTACACTCAGGAAACAGGGGGTAGTTGTGAAGTGTTAACTCAAAGTCTCCCTTCCCTTGACTCCGTTTTGCTCAAGACCCTCCCGGACTCGAGCACCTGAGCAGAAGGGGACAAGGCCCTACAAGGAAGTTGTCTCCGCAGAATCAGACAAACATATGGAATCAATAGCTTTTCAGTTAAAATAAAACCTGTTTGGTTTTCTTTAAGATTTAATTTATTTAAGATTTAATTTAATTTTATTTAATTTTGAGACTTAATTTAATTTAATTTAAGATTTAATAAACGTGATTTAAGATTCACACGTTTTTCGTACACCCGAGAACATCAGGTGTGTTCCTAATGTGGACACCAGCCCACCACCACCGAGGCGAGGGTGGGTGTCGCCCCACCGCCCTCAGCCGGTGCGCTGGCAGGTGCCCCATCCTGAGCCAGGGCTCCGTGCCCAGCTCCTGACACTCGGCCCTACCCGGGAGCAGACCAGAAACAAGATCAGAGGGTTCTGTGAGGTGTTTCAAAAGAACTCCCCCTTTCAAGAATGGAAAGTGACAAATAAAAAATTAAGCGGTAAAGAAAAAGTGGCAAAAAAATAATTCTAAGACTGAAAATCTGTTTACAAATGGTGCACATTGCAGGACAGAAAAGAGCAGGTAGCACAATGTAGGAGACAGACGTGTGAAACGGAGACCAGACCTGTCCTCCACGTTAGCTCTCGACACCTGTTCACGAAATGCACATCACGTGCTCTCCGAGGTGCTCGGCTCACAGAGCCACGTGCCCTGGGCCAGGGATGCAGACAGGTGAGGGCTGTGCTTCCTCTGGCCTCCCCTCGTCCTCTCCCACCTGCTGGGAGGGGGGCGGGCAGCCGTCAGCCGTGGCGCCGAGCATCATGTCCCGGAGCTTTGTCTGAGCCACCGGAGTGCAGTGGCTTTCTCCTTCCACCATACCTAGCTTTCCTTTTCCTCTAGATCACTTTTTCTGCAAAAGCTAATGCGCTCTTGTGTAGGGACCCTGCCTTCCACGCTCACCTCCAGTTGCTGAGTGGTGATCTACTCACGCTCCCGACTCTTCAAGCCCAGCTTCCAGTCCTGCTCACACGGAGACCCTCACAATGGAATGAGCCCACCCACCCCTAAGTGCGGAGAGGGCGCTTTAGTCATTTGCCGTAGAAACTAGGCTAGCAGATGCAATCCCATCGGGAAGACGCCGGGAGAGTTTGAACA